TTCAATTTAGGCACGGAAGTAAGTTTTCAAGCAGGGAATTGAATTTCTTTTCGGGGAGATTAAGTTTCACGCGGGCCTTACATTTTGGTGCGTGGAAAATTTAGAGCAAAAAAATCTAAAAGAATTGGGCGCTGCGCGGGGCTGATCTGGGGGAAAGTTCAAGTTTTCGAGAAAATTGGTCGCTGCGCGGGGCCATTAGGTCTGGAACTATGAGTATAAAAGCATCGGCCGTGCTCTGATGAAACGACTGTTTAAAAACAACCGGACGCTGCGGGGCAATGACGTCTGGAAATAAGAGTACCAAAAATCGCCCCTGCTCGGGGCTGCTTTGATGATGAAACGACTGTCCTAAAAAATTGGCTTCTCTGGTGCTAAGCGTTCCCGAAAAAATCGGACGCTGCGCGGGGCTGTTGGGTTTGGAATTAAGTGTACTTAGAACAAATTGGCGGGGCCTGGAATTTTATGCTAAAAAATTTTGGCCGCTGCGCAGGGCGCCAGTAGATGGACCGACGGTATTTTAAAAAAATCGGCCGCTGCACGGGGCTGTTAGATCTGGAGTCTGGAGATGATTGGCTTAAACAAAGTGGGCCGCTGCCTTTAGTGGGGGATATTGGGTGGCGGAATCGGCTGTTGCTACGTTTCTAAAAAGCAAGGTGGTTCCAACCATGTCCCCTGGCTAGCTTGATAATGTGGTTCAACATCAGACGTGAGGCTCAGAGTAGAAGCGCTGGAGGCGGCTCAATTTATGCAGGGGACAGTCTGTCTCACGCAGCCGTGCTTATATGAGGGTGCCAGCCTGTGAGACCGGAGAGAATTCTGCTTGACATGTCATTCTGCCCCCTGCAGAAGATTCCAATAACCCCTAGTCCCCGGAGCCTTATGTAAAATCCCAAGGCTTTCCGCAATTCCAAACACTTTCTCACCCTCTTTAAAATTTGAATCCCCTGAACCCCCCCTGTGGAACTCACCGCCGCTGGTTCTTGGGCGCGTGCCGTTGATGATTTGATCCGCGACCGTGTGCGCAATGTGTGGTGGCAACCTTCCGGCCATTGACGAGGTCCCTGCGGATGATGACGACAATTTGCGCGGCGACCTTGAGGTGATGGACCTGGCGCCGCCTATGGGCAGAGCAACGATTACACCTACGCGGTGCGTGCTTCGACGGTGTCTACGGCGCACGCCTGTTGCTTGTTTCCTTCCGGAGCAGCTATATGATGTGGACAAGGAGGAGTCAGGTGTCTTCCCTGGCGTTGTCGCCCCGACTGCCGCTCTGCCGGCGTCCTCGCAAGATGTGCCTACGTTTGGATCCGGTGACGATGCATCTCCTCTGGGTGCGCCTCGGGAGCGAAATCTAATTTGAGTTCCAACGTGCAGAACCTCACGAACCAGGCCCCGCCGTTCCTTGAGTCCTTGAGTATGCTTCGCCAAGACCCTTCATGCAACGACGCTCACTTCACTTCATTGCTGTTGAGGGAGGATCAGATTGGGTCAGAGGTTTACCTCCTGGTGAGTTGTGATGGTGCACAACACATCACGCTGAACGAGCGACTTGCCATCGTGCTTCAAAGGTCTGAAGAGGTGAAAGGACATGATTTCAATGCCGGAGGTGCCAGCAGATATTTGAAATAGTCAGAGAGGGAGTGTGTCGATGCTTGCCTCATCATGCCTGCGCAAGCTCAGAAGCACAGATTTATTGATGCCCGTTGCCCATTACTGCCACTTCGATATATGGATACAAGGATTGTGTTTGCTTCCCAGATGAGAAAGTTGTCTATATGGTTGAGACACAGGTCTCTGCAAGGGTGTTTTCGTGTGGCGGTAGACACAGGTGTATGGGCTTCAATCGACGGCGTTCTCAATGATAAAGATTCCTGGTAGGATCTTCACAGAGAACGTTGCGTCAATGAGCGTAGCGTGGGATTCTGAGAAGATAACAAATAGACCCACTGAAGATGAATTGGCGTATCATCGAACCTGGGCCATGATCCTCGCCGTTGAGAGTGGGCTCTGGAATTTGGCAGAGCAAAAGGGTAAAAAGAGAACAGAAGTCACGTGTTCGAACCTCAAGAAGGGCTTGGATCAGGACGGATTTGATAGCTTGAGGGATGCGCTCATGAACCCCGCGAACATCTATGATGTCCACAAAGGTCATTTTCGGCCACGCGTTGCATTTCGGGGCGTTCCTCAGGAGCTGTGGATTAGAATATGATTGCAGTCCCAATCTATGTGCTGCTACCCACCTTGATGGAATACGGTGCCCGCCTTGCCACAAACGGTTTCACCCTTTGCCGGAAAGCGAATCTCTTGCCTGAAATCACCGTAATCTTTGAACTTGAAGGTGCAAGAGGACAAGGCGCCAGACTCCGATCTCCATCGCCTGTGGACGAGTTTGTCTGCGAAACTGAAGGAGGAGAAATGTACATGGCCGCCTCCAACAAGTTCATTGCGAAGATTGCAGGCAAGCCTACCGGGACAACGTGACAGTAATCCTGAACCCTGAAGAAGTTTCCCAAACGATGCTCAGGCCCAGGATCTTAAACATCTCCTGGTTCGGGCAATTGTGGCTCCACCAGGGAGTTCCAAGGATTATGCTGCTTTTGCCCAGATTGCATGTTGATGACTCCGGCAACGGTGACAAAGTGCCTAAATTGCGATGCCATGATGGTGGCGTTTGGGAGGTTTATGGATCAAAGTTGTCTGGGTATGCCCCGCGCTCTTACTTCAGCAATCCTCATTGATGTTGACCTCCAAGAAGAGCTGGAAGATGCCGTGATCGCCAAACAGCATGCAAAAGAGGTTGTCAGGACCGGAGAGGAAGCGTCAAAGAACAACATTGATGAGATGAACGATGACCAAGCAAGATTGTCCGAAGCGCCTGTCGACCAGTGTGATCAACATGAAGATTTCAGGAATGAGTACCTGACTGTCTCCAATAGCAAGCGTCACAGCCTCCAGCGATGTGTTTGAACATTGAGGAGATTGGCAAGGTATTTGATGAAGTCTTTGCGTACCCCACCTTCCAGCCAAGGATCTTCTTGATGATTACGTCGCCTTGAGTTTGAAGATATGAAAGACAAGATGGACTACGGTACACCGTTCACCCGTTGACAGTTCCTTTGTCCTACTTTCATCGTCGGTGAGGACGCAAAGGTCCCAAGGATGCCAACAAAAGACGAACACATGGAGTGGGCGCGAAGAACTGGGCGCACTGAATATTAGCGTGCCAGCGAAACCTGGATGAACAAGAATCGCTATCAACCCACAGATTCTTCGCTCCTGCTATGTGAAAATTTGGATGATTGCTGTGAGGTGCTCCGCGTCCAGAACTTCATCTCAGAAATCTATGTTTGTGCCTACAGGCCGACGCCGCGATGAATCAACCAATTCTTGGCACCACTCATCGAGGTCAATTTCAAAGGAGACCGGAAGTTGCGTCCAAATCAAGGAGAGGGTACTAGAAGCTTGATTAGCTCGAGATTGAGGCTGGTGCCTTCACATGCCCTTGGGATCAAGAAGTTTGGCTATGTGGCCTACCGATATATGCCCCAAGACATCTACACAGAATCCCCACTTGTGCATGAGGGCATGTACGAAGGCCAACAGACGCGCAACCACCTCGATCCGGAGAACCCCTAGCTTGCCGACCAGATGGGGGTCATGTATGGAAAGGAGTTCCGTGAAATCTACAGCAAAAGATGCACCAATGCAGTCAAAGGTCGAATTCGGGATTGCAAATCAGCCAGTGACGTTCAGAAGCGGCTAAAGGACATCACGCTTCAGAAATGGATTCAAGCAAATCTCGGATGCAGCGAAGGGTGGCAATCCCTACACCCCGAACTATGACTTGGATGCTATGGATGAGTGAAAGAGACAAGGATTGATGCATTTCTCTTGATTCCAATGGCCGCTTTGGCACGCCATGGATCTTTTCTTTGCGTTCTAGGGTTTTCTCGAACGCATTCTGAGAGAGCATCATCACGTCTCACACTTGTGCTCTGGGCCTTGCCTGGCACTAATCACTCTATTTTCCTACTTCACCTTTGCACGCATCGATGTTGAATTGTGTAAAAGTTCGAGCTCTGCAATTTCATCTCGCTCAACAAGTAAATGCTCAACGTGCGGGGGTGTCAGAGACTCAACTGCACCTTCAACCCACCTGCACACCTTGCAGGTGCTTGTAGGTAATGAATATTTACGCCCCAATGTCGTTTGGCTCAAGTTCCCCCTTTAGCTCAAGTAGGCAATGGGAGCTATAGTGTTGCCTTGCAAAATTCTTGGCTCAGCGGATTGAACCGAGTTGTGAGATCCGCCTCCAGTGAAAACATCGAAGAACGCTAGGGTATCGCAAGTTGTGGTTTTGCTGTGTACACAGATTTCCCAGTCACCCTTGTACACATCCATCCATCCGCCCACCCATCCGTCATCTTAGGCAAACAATTCAGAAGGTTCATCTTGAACAGTAGTCAGGCATGCAAGCTTCGCCCACGAGACTACCCGAGCACTCCGTGCCAAAAGAGAGCTTGTTCTCTGCACCTGCTGTGCAAGAAATTTAGTCTTGACTCTCTGGAATACGCAGTTCCTGGGTTGCCCGAACCTACGAGAGATCTTGCTGGATGCCGCTTGGATGAACCGGCTGGCAGATGCGCGGCGTTTGAAAGCGCAGATGCAATCCAAAATCTCCTTGCGTCGAAGAGCAGCCTATAACATTTAGCGGTGAAGATACAACACCACCTACACGTAGTCAGGATTTGAAAGCCTTTAAATGCATGTTGTGCATACACAACAAACACACGTGGGCCCTTTGGTGCATGGCGCAGACTTTGAATTACACATTCCGAAACACATGTGACAGCATACGGTTGACATAGGTTTAGTTTGGGCCCCCCCCGGTTAAAGTGAAAAGAGCAGGGAGGGAGAGGACGAGGGGCACAACGAGTACGTGGTTTCTTGTCCCGCAGAGCAAAAACATTTTTGTTGGGTTATCCAATCATTGCGCAAAGGTGAGACCGAAGCCAAAGCTTCACGCATGGACCTGCTCTCCGTGTCTCCTTTCCAAGAGGCACGGGGCGGAGTTTGACTGATGTGCATTTCATTCCGATTCCTTCATTTTGATTTGTGTATTTTTCGAAAGAGGTCTTCAGCAAGCGGCGGCAGCAGAAGCGGGCCAAGATTGGAGCGACGGACCTGGAAGGGTTCTTGGAGGCGGCCAACAAGAAGGCTGAAGGCTACAACAACGGCAGCGACCGCCGTGCCTTGGTGGACGCTGCGGGGCAGGAGCGAGCTGAGGAGGCAGAGGGCCATGTGGGTGAGGAGATCTTCAACAAAGGCACTTCCCGGAGAATTTGGGCGGAGCTCTACAAGGCCAACAGAAATAGCATCACATACACACAACAAACAGCCAAAGTTTTGCTTATGCCCCAGGTTGTGGATGCAGCGGACGTCTTGGTCTTCGTGCTGGATGCCCGGGATCCCATGGGCACCCGTTGCCAGCAGTTGGAAAGCCCTCCAGCTGAGTTTCAGCAGTCCTGCACACACTAATGCCTGCCGGGCCTGACCCGTCTGACCCGTCTGAGGAGAGCTTCGGAAAAGCCGACAACACAAACACATCGTGTTGTTGGTGAACAAGGTGGACTTAGTGCCCACTTGGGTGACACGCCGCTGGGTCCAAGAGCTCACCAAAGACTTCCCCACTTTGGCTTTCCACGCGTCCATCACCAACCCTTTTGGCAAGAATGCCCTATTAAACCTGCTACGCCAGTTTGGGAATCTTCTCAAGGACAGATGACAGGAGGGGTTCAGTTTGGCTTGCGGTGGCCAAAGCGTGAGGAGAAGAAACACGTGACCGTGGGGATGATCGGCTACCCCAACGTCGGTGGCTTGCCTCTCTTACTCGCTGTTTGTGTTTTTCAGTGACGTTTGATCCGAATTCTGAGGGGAAAAAGCCTCTAACGCTCAGGCAAATCCTCAGTGATTAACGCCTTGAAGCGGAAGAAGGTGTGCAAAGCTGCACCAGTACCTGGCGAAACCCGAGTTTGGCAGTACATTGCCCTCACCAAGCTTCTTGGCACAGGTTGTCTTGTTGAATCTTTCGATTTTGAAATTCCAGCTCAGTCAGCTCAGGAAAATCTATCTGCTCGACTGCCCCGGAATCGTGCCACCTTCGCAGAGCGACTTTGCCGCCGACTGTGCAAAGGCCAACAAAGGCAGAAAAAATACCCCCCTGTAGTCTTCCTGATTTTGGCAGGTGCTGAAGGGCGTGGTGCGAGCAGAGCGCCTGAAGACGCCTTCTGACTACATCCACGAGGCGAGTGGTGCTCGACCAAAAAGACTTTCAAAGCTTGGAAATTTGGAAATTAGGTTCCCTTGTTTTTCTTCTTGTGCTCCTGGGCGTCTTGGCCGTGGCATCCGCCGAGGTCTTGGGGCGCGTGAAAAAGGCATATTTGCTTCAGCGATATCGGCTTCCGCTGGACACCACCTGGCGTGCGCCAGGGCCGCAAGGGCTGCAAGGGCTGCAAGGGAAGCGAGAAAACGCTCAGAAGCGGGCCAAACTTAAGGGACGGATCTCAGGACAGCGAGGAGTTCTTGACCTTGCTGGGGAAGAAGATGGGGAAGTTGGTGAAGGGTGGCGAAGCCGCCGTAGACCCAGAATTTTCCCGGTTCTTGATCCCAAATTTGCGAAGCAAAGCAACTTGTTTCGCCTGCTTCTCTCCAGGATATTGACACGGCAGCTCGAATCGTGCTCTACGATTGGCAGCGCGGTCGGATCCCCTACTTCACAGCCCCTCCTGAGGACCTGCTCCGCGAATGCTGTGCTGGCTTTCTTTTCGTTTTCGGGCAGGCACCGACGGAAGGGACAGAGGAGCCTTCGACGGCTCAAGAAACAGGTGTGAAGCATCTGTTACGTCCAACTTGTCACATCTGACATCTGGAATCCGTCAGGGGAGAAGGGAGAAGAGATTGCCGGCCAGTCCCTGGCTGCTTTGGGTGAAATCCCCTGTGCACACGCTTTTGATGATGAGGAGGGGCTTCGCGATTCGTGCGTGAGACAAGGAGTGAGACGGGGGCAATTTCCAAGGACCGGCGAGGCGAGGAGCCGGCTGCCAGCTGCGCGGCTGGCAGTGCTGGCAGTGCTGGCAGTGCTGAAGAGCCATCGGCCACCAAGCCACCGGCCAGGGTCCAAGCGCCAGACTCATGCTCATGCAATCATGGCAGCTCGGCACTGCAGAAACGCCTCAAAACAGACAAAGCAGACATGGAAAGCAAATCAAATACGCGCTGAACCTGAGCCCTTATTCCTTTTCTGCTCATGGGCCAGAAACACACAGCATGTTGGTGGCACGCGTGGGTTCTGCACTTCCTTGAACATTCTCCGTGCGTAATCGTCAATACTGCGGCTGGTCATACACTCGGAAGCAGCCTTTGATGCATGGTCCATGCATTCACGCCAAACTCTAGCGTTGCCAGCCAGTCCTAAGGTTGCCCAGAAGAGGGCCGGCACTCAGGCGATGCATGCAATGCAAAAGGGTGCCGAATGTGCCGAGTTTTGCTGCGCTTGTCCTGGCCAGGTTTCGTCCAAGCTTCGAAAGCGAAGAAAGGCAAAAGGTGGGACTGGGAGGCCGGGAGTGGGTTCCAGCACTTTCAGCTCGGTGTAGCTTGGTGCAGCGAGCTACAGGTGTAACAGGGAAGCAGATGCGCATGCTGCGCCTCTCCCAGGGACAGCAGACTGGAAGGCCCTCGAGCTGAGTGCAGCTGACACACACTTCCCAAAACGATGCTCTGCGCAAGGCAGTGGTGGCCGAATTTGGCTGACTGCATCAGTGTGGCCGCAGCTTAAGACGGCTTTTGTTTCACCGCATTGCAGCAGGCGTGCCGAGGCGGGCCAAATTGAACACGGCTCCCAAGTAGCCAATGGCCAACTTGAATTCCTGAGGCTTTGTGACTCAGGCCTTTGCGTATGTGAGCTGGGCTCAGATGAAGGAAGTGAGGAGAAAGTACAGCGCGATGGATGCAGCAGTTGGTGCGGAGCCTGGTGCGGTGTCCCAGACAGGAGAAGTTTTTGTGTTAGCACACTTGTGTGCGTTGGAACATGGAGCAATCGGGCGCGCACCGCAACCGGATTGAACCGCTTTTGTGTGCCCCTTTTCTGTTAGATTTGCCGCCTGAGCCATGGCGGCTTCTGACAACACCGCTGCTGCCTCCGCCGCCTTGAGGCGCCTCGGCTCTGAAGATGAGGCGGTGTTGATGGCGGCGCTCTCCTACATGGGGCGCGAGCCCTTCCGGCGCTTGCGCCGCGCAGTGGGGCGCACTTCTACCCCACTGCCTTCGGATGATGAGGGCGGCAGCGGCCCGGCGGGGGCGAGTTTGAGCAGTTCTTTCTGCCTGGACCCGGCGGACAATCAGGCCAACCAGGTCACCGCCCCACATGGGGCGAACGTCAACAACATGGACGCGGTCTCTGTCACCGACCCTGGCGTGGGGGCGATGGCTTCGCCCACCGCAAGCCATGCCACCCAGGAACCAGTGTGGCCGCCTGCTTCGGGCGGCCTCACCTCGTTGGACGTCTATCTGGCGTCCACCAACCTTGGCGACACCGCCCACGTTATGGACGGATGTGGGCGGCACTATTTCGTCCTCAGCCCCTACAGCTGCCGCCTACTTCGTCTGCAGCGGTGTCTATACTACCGTGGGGGCGGCTACGCCCGACACAGGCGCAGAGCCTGAGCCCAAGGGGCCGCCCACTCCGGGCGCGACCCGCTCAAAGGCCAACGCAATAGCCCCTCAGAGAGCGGCAGACGATTCAGTTCTGCCTACCGCCACTGGCGCAGCCGCCTCGGTGAGCCAGGTGGCGGGTTAATTTGACACCCAAGCAGCGGTGTACAACCGCCCTGTGAGAAAGGCGCTACAGTTGCTTTTGTAAGGCGGCCCAGCCCCCTGCGAAAGCGCCCCCCCCGGTATGGCGCCTTGCGCCTTGACCAGGGTGCAGGGGCACCGCGAAGGCGCTGGCACTCTGCCTGCGTCCCGCCCTCAGCCGCCCACTCAGGGCGCCGGGGTCGACAGCCTGGATTGACCCAGGCCATGCAGCCGTTGGGCCTGGCCAACCCACCGCCTCCACTGCTCGTAGAGGTTTTGGGGCGCTTCAGCGCCTGGGTGGCCAAGCTTCCAGCCCTTCCACACCGCCTTGCAAAAGGCGGAAGCTGAGCAGCTTGGGATGAGCGCGGAGCAATACTACCGCCACTCTCCGCGGTGATCATTGTTGCTCAGGGCGCTCGCACGCGAGCGCCAGGCCCCGGGCTCAGGGCGGCCCTGCTGGCGAGACAGGCCCTGCTCCAGCAGGTCCCCGCCCAGGTTCATACCATCGTCGTTTATGCAGACGCCTTCTTCTGAAAAGGCGACCTTCGACACTGGGTGCACCGGGCGTCCAATGGGTGGGGCTACGTTGTCCGCATCGGCGAGACAACATTTTATGACTCTGGATCGGTTTTCGAGTGGTTCATCCGAAAATTTGACACCCGCAGGGCGCACATCTACATGCTCGAGGTGCTCGCCCAGATCCTGGCGGTGGTCACGCTGTCCGCGCTCTTGCCCGAGGACTGGGTGGTGTTCATCGACATCGCAGCCGGCCAGTGGGCGCTGAACAAGGGCCACGGCCGCGACAGTTCCGTCAACGGCCTTCTCTCCGCCTTCTGGTCGAGATGGCGGCTCGCCAATCTTGGCGGCCCACATTCTACCGGGTCGCTTCTGAGGCGAACATAGCCATCCTTTCCTGGGCTGCCGACGACCTTGAGTACGCAGTCCATCGGGCGGCTCCTGACTTGGCAGCCTTTGATTTTCCCACATTTTCCGGTGCCGGCGCGATGCGGGGAAGGGGCGCCGGACGGGGAGCAGATGCGCCCCTCCGGCCCCGGGATTTGGGGCGTCTGCGGACCCCCCGCCGATACAGGCGATTCCCACCCGCATCAAAAAAAGTGCCGTTGCACAGTTTTGGCCTTGTGCTTGCACGCTTTGCGGCATGTTTTTCGAGAAGTGAGTATGTATGGTCACTCTTTGAGTTCAAGGTGCGTTCCGAACTCCCGACCGAACCCTAGCTTGGCTAAGCGCTACCCGCTTTTTGCTTCTTCGAATCTTCACTTCAGGTCTGAGTCTGATGAGCGCCTGGAGCGGAGCACTAAGAGCTTCCCAAGCCCCTGAGGCATCCTGAGGCAAGTGGAGATGTTCTGTTTGAGGGAGCTCTTCCTCATCGTCTTCCGGCAGCTCAGTTGTGCTCTGCGGCCCCAAGGCTGCTTTTATGGCTGCCAGAAGATGCAGTCGAAATAGGGAAGTGAAGCGCCAGAAGCGGTCCTGGCAAGCTTTGGGAGGTGCAGCTGAGCAGGCAGTGGTGGAGGAACTCATCGTGCAACACCTGCAAGGCCTGCAAGGCCTGCTCCAAACCCACAACGTTGCGGTTGCAGCTGTTGCAGGTCTTCGGAGGAGCGACCGCGGCCTGGACAGGTCAGTTACACTCGTAGCTCCAAGCGTACTGGATCCCGTTGCAGCTGCCATCAACTGGCAAGGCACTTGCGATTTCAGGGCTTGAAGAACCGATTGCGCCACTGGCTCTGTGCTGGCAGGGCCAGGCAGGACACGGGAGGGCGCAGTGTCATTGGAGAGGTGCCCTCCTTTATTTCTTGAAGGTGTGGCATCTTTTCGCTACTCTTCCTTCTGCGTGGAGACACGTTTTCAGGCTCGTAAACGGAGCTTGGAGAGGAGCTGAAGCATGGGTCTTCTGACTAAGGAGAGAGGAGCCGATTTCTGCGACAGTGCCTAGCAGTGCAGCCAGCAGAGCAGCTAGCAGGGGGCTCACAGATTCATGGATTGATTGATTTGCAGGACCCTGCTCTCGCAGCCCATCTTTCGCGCTGGAAGGACTGCACTGCCTCGGAACGCGACTCTCTGGACTTTGGCTGTGACATTACCTCTCAGGGAGGCGCAGAGCTTGCAGAGCTTGCAGAGCGCGCGGAGCTCGCAGCGCTCGCAGAGCTCCGAGGCCTGCGGGGCTCACAGTCCACAGCCGGCAGCCCCTCACTTTACGGTCTCCTTCCCGGGGAGGGTCAAGTGGGCTGGCAGCTTGGGCTTGGAGCCCCGAGGCAGCTGCCAGAGGCCAAAGTTGGGAGGGTTGGCCTTTAGGGTTTTGGGTTGAAGTGGTTGAAGTGGTTGGGGAGAGGTTGGGGGAGCAAATGGGTTGCCATCGAATGCCAGGCCAAGCTGGTACGGGACCTGCTCTTTGCCTTGCAGGCAAAGCCCTCAGAGAGCGTTGCTAGCTCCATGTTTCCCCCGGCCAGGGTGTTGCCAGCGATTGCTTCAAGCTCGACAGCTCCTTCGACGTGGATCCCGCCGTGGTCCTGTCGAGGCCAGACACAGATGACACAACTTCTTGACACTCAACAACTCAGCCCCTTGAGAGTTCTGAGGCCTGCCTGGGCGGTCTCCCAGCGGGTCTTGGAGCTGGCAACTTTGCACGCACGGCTGACGCGGCCCGGGGCAAGCAAGGCGCCTCAACCCTTGCTCTTAAACGCTGAAAGGCCCTTGAAGGCAGAGGCGCTTGCGTAGGGCAAAGCTTGATTGATGACAGGATGGGGAGGAGGGCCTGCTGCAGCAGGTGCAGGTTTTGTTTCTTAAGCACTTGCACCAGCGAAAGCAGCCGGTTTGCACAGCCATTTGGACCAAAGCCACCGGAAGAACACGCGCGGCGCCCCTAAGAAGCCACACTCTGTGATGCCGCCAGACAAGCTCGACTGCTACAAGAATATCCCTAGCCATCTCAGTGCAGACAGCGTGAAAGAGATCACCCAGAAGATCATGGCCGAGGAATGTGGTAGCATGACGTGATTTTGAGAAGAAGCAGCTCTGTGCCATGGTCTCTCTCTTCCACTCTCCCTCTCTTGGGATAGACCTTAAAGGGTGGGACATGCGTTTTCACCTCGGATGCCAGAAGGGCTGCTGGAACCTTTTGCCCGCAACTCACGTGGGACCTTGGCTGGCCATTCTTCACGAGATGTGAATTCACATAGGCGCAGAACATCTGGCAAGATATCTGGCAAGATATGCATTATCGCTGGCACACCCCCACCCCAAAGAATCGGGAAAAAAAACAACTGCAATAAACAAACAATTGTAAGCGCCAGCGGCCAGCACGCGTCCGCCTCAGCAGCCGGGTTGCAAAAAAAAAGACGTCTTGTGCGAAGAGTGTTGCAAAGCTTGAGGGGAGCTGGGGGGTCCTAGAGCAAGCAAGTGCTGACCCCAGACCTCACCGCTTTCACCCCATTTCTCAACCCGCCTACACAATATGCAAAGCACCTGCCAAGTCCCACACCGAAATCCCAAATACAATCCGAACCACAAGACACCTCCCAACACAACACCAAACCCCAAAGCACAGCACAGAGCAAGATCCGAAGAACCCCCCCCTTACCCCACACCTCACACTTAATACCCACCATGCCCCCTGAGATTGGCCCGAGCGAGAACTACCTCACTACAGTGTACAGCAGACGGCCGAGCGGGCTTCTCTTTTTCCACTACGCGCTACTCGAGTATTAACTCCCTTAGAACCTTGAGAGAGGCAACAACAACCATGCAGTTGTGTCACATGAACTGCACATGGACCGATAGCAAAGAAACAGGACTGTACCTTATCTCCATCACAGGCACAGATTTACTTTCACGTTACAGAACTGTCCCGTCGGTCGGCTCTTTAGTTTTCTGAGTGAAACTGGCACATCTACAGGAAGTCTGACCTAAAGCTGGCAAGTGCAGAAGCCCTCACCGTCTTGTGGAAGACGCCTAGGGTATACGTAGAAACCTTGCTTGGAGCTAAGCAGTCCCATACCTTCTTGTGGGAAAAGCCCGGGGTTCATAGCTCACTGGCAGGCTTACTTACTTTTGCCTTTGACCTTACTTTGGTCATGCCCCGGCCCTTCGGATTGCCTTTGGCTTTGCCATTCTGCCGATTTGCCCGATTTGCCTCCTGTCTTTGCTTCCTATTTCTCAGCCTCTCTCACTAACATCCTCCGTTCCAGCGTGTTATGGCAGAGTTGGAAATGCAGGATAGTGTGGCTGTCCTTATCCTGGGGGCCTCAGGAAGAGAGTCTCAAATCCTGCAGACATGAGGAATTCACCAACCTTGAGGTTGTATTCATATTCTGCTGCAGGTTGGCCGGCCCATGTATTGATGGTCTGGCTGCCTAATGCAAGCAACCATGCAATCCCCATTAGGATCTTCAGGCGACACTTGACACCCAGAAAACATCCTTAGGATCTAACAATGTCCTCGCCTGTAGTCGATGGGGTCAGATGGGCAAACAAAGTCTGTTCCACCGGAAGGAGTTACGATCCATACCTTCACCGTACTACCTCCGGTAGCACTTTGCCTAACAGGCTGACGCTGTTCATATTGTAGGCGAGCTGCCTCTCTTGTGAACAGATTAGCGACTTGGGCGTCATCACCTTCTGGCGCACTAGAGGTGCCGAGTTGAGAGAACTTTCCCTACTGCTCCTGCTAGGGTCCTGACCATAATACAGATCAAATTCCCTACGAGCTCGCTGCTCATAGTAGGCTGCAGACCTATTNNCGACTGCCAAGGAGATGACTGGTTAGATTCCGCGCCTAAATCTTCATATTGACCCTCATTGCTACCACTTGGAGCGTAGGCATTTGCCTTTTTTACCAGCCCCGCTGCTAGGATCTAACCTACATACTAATTGGCGTCACCTTCCTGAACACTGGAGGCTTGGACGTATGCATCTCGTACATCAACTGATGCCAGAGTAATGAGAACCTTATCATTAGAGTTGGCTTTAGGTGCCTGAGCGACAGTCCCGCCAGGACTGGCGCTGACCTCACTTGCATTTTGAACAGGTGAAAAAGCTGAACAAAAGGTTGTTCCATCACCAAACGCACTACTGAGGTCTTGTTCTAGCCTAGCCCCTCTGCCACTGAGGGTTTGGGTTTGGCTAAATGCCCCGTGGCCACATCAGGTGGTGGAGTATCTACCTCCTGAACTAGGCTTGAACTATGAGAGGTCGACCCTAAACCTATCCCCAAATATGGAGTTACAACTCTAAGGCAGCCAAAAGGGAGCCTAGAATCCTCCAGCTGGGTTGATTGGACTGATCAGCTTGCTGGAATTTGGCAAAGTTGCCTGCTGGGGGGGGGGGGGGGNNGGTGTTCACTCTCATTTGAATTTGTTATTGCTATTTTGGCTTTGATTCTGATCAGATTTATCACTATACACCTAATGCAGATGCTATACATGTATATTTAATTATCATCATTGTGTAAGCTGGAGATGTGATCACTAGAAACCGAAAGGGCTGTAGGAGCGCAGGCACTCACGTTCATGTGCACAAGCAATTACTGAACATCATGTTTACGGTTTTCATAACTCTCCATCATTTTCATTCTTTTTTATCATCTTCCAATGCTTCATCATTTTGTGAGCCCTTAGGGCAAACTAACCTTTCAAGACTCCCGCGCACTTACCCACTGCGGAAAAGAGAGCGCTTGCCTGCTGCACTTCTTGATGAACTTTCTTATTATGTTTCATCATTTGTCGTCATTGCTCATCATTTTGCATCACCTTCTTCATTGTCATCATTTCTCATCATTTTTGATAATTTTTCATGACTTTCTATCATTTGTCATGTTCATCATCTTTCATTGTTG